GGACAACTGGGTGAAAGTATTGTGGTCAGATGAGACCAAAATTGAGCTCTTTGGCATCAACTCAACTCGCCGTGTTTGGAGGAGGAGGAATGCTGCCTATGACCCCAAGAACACCATCCCCACTGTCAAACATGGAGGTGGAAACATTATGCTTTGGGGGTGTTTTTCTGCTAAGGGGACATGACAACTTCACCACATCAAAGGGACGATGGACCGGGCCATGTACCGTCAAATCTTGGGTGAGAACCTCCTTCCCTCAGCCAGGGCATTGAAAATGGGTCGTGGATGGGTATTCCAGCATGACAATGACCCAAAACACATGGCCAAGGCAACAAAGGAGTGGCTCAAGAAGAAGCACATTAAGGTCCTGGAGTGGCCTAGCCAGTCTCCAGACCTTAATCCCATAGAAAATCTGTGGAGGGAGCTGAAGGTTCGAGTTGCCAAACGTCAGCCTCGAAACCTTAATGACTAGAGGAAACCTTAATGACTTGGAGAAGATCTGAGATGTGTGCAAACCTGGTGGCAAACTATAAGAAACGTCTGACCTCTGTGATTGCCAACAAGGGTTTTGCCACCAAGTACTAAGTCATGTTTTGCAGAGGGGTCAAATACTTATTTCCCTCATTAAAATGCAAATCAAATGTATAACATTTCTGACATGCGTTTTTCTGGATTTTTTTGTGCGTTAACAAAATTATAGACTGATCATTTCTTTGTCAGTGGGCAAACGTACAAAATCAGCAGGGGATCAAATATTTTTTTCCCTCACTGTAGGTGGAATGCTTTTGCCAATAACATCTGGCATCCCGGAAGTAGAGTATATTTGTTTAACAAGTCCGACCCTGCTGATGAGATCCAAGTGGTTAAAACCAGTGGCAGCATTTCCTTGTTTAAACAAACTGGATAAAATTGGTCTCGGGTGAAGAGGTGACTCAGTGGTTAGCTCACTGCACTGTCAAACCCGGCATACCTGAGTTCGATTCTCGGCCACGGCTAACATCAAATATCCAAAATGGACCTTGGCCCCCATTTCACTGATTTGCACTGACCAGCGCAGTGACATATGGCCAAACAATCCTTGCGACCAACACAGCGTTCGTAGCAAGGCTTTCATATACAAAGGTGGTTTGACAAAGGGTTGTCAACTATTAATATATAGCCTTGGTCTGCAAAATGCATTGGCTGTTTGGGCTAAGGATAAAAATACCCCACGTTGACAATCGAACGATATACTTACCCTTTTGTCATGTGACACTCTGCACTCACCTTGCTCAGACAGCGCTCTTCCACAAACCTGTGCCCCCCCTCGTGCGAAGTTGGATGAATGAGGCTCCGGGCATTCATCCCCCATGACCCAGCTCCCTGCAATGCACCACGAGGTATTACTGCTAAGAGAGGCAGTCATGCGCAAGGACATACCCTCCCGCTCCACCGCACCCCGCCCCCACCAAGTCCTGTCTCTTAGCAAAGCCTTGGCGGCCGGAGGGAGCCACCACGACCAGGAGAGGCCCTCCGTGACACTCAGGGCTGCATTAGCACAGTTCAAAGGTGGCCATGGGGCCCTCATCAGCGGCTCCCAGTGGGGACCCCGAAATCCATTAAAAGAGCTCCGGGATCGCTCAACACTCAAGGTCCAGGAAGCGTAAAATAATAATAGTAGTATATAAATAATAAATAAACGATGATCGCACCCCAATGCCGAATTTGGACAAAATTAGGTCGAAGATGCGCGCAGCGCCAGCAACGTCACGCGACAAAAGAAAAAAAAAGAAGATGCAGGTGAGATAGTGCCGGCCAAATGATAGGCTTCAGCGGTTTCTATGCCTCGAGGCAGGGGAATTGAATTTGCAAGCGGGCATTGTAACCATGGGAGTAAATATTTTCACACACCTACTTATTTTGGCAATGCTGCAGTGCCGCCCGAGAAAAGACGGTTCAGGCGACAGGGTGATAAGACCGTCAGCGAATTTCGTCTGTTGAAGCGTTTGTTAACGCACAATGTTAACTTCTCTGCGGTTTTGAATCCGCAAGTGGCAGCCCCCAGATTAAGCCTTACCGGCAGATTACATCTTATCGGCCGTGGCTTTGCTGGCTCAACATGACGCATTCATGCTCTGAGACTCAAGTCAAGTGCCTAATTTCATCTCTCGGGCAGTTGAACTTTTTTGTCGTTCTAAAACGCACGGTTCAACTGAGGGTTAGTGCCTGGCTTCCAAATAAAATGGCTACATGAACGGCATTTTTTTTTTCTCACAAACGAAGCGTTGTTCTGCCACCGCTGCCGCCACCGCTCCGTGTCTTTAATTTAGTACCTAAGCGAGCGCAGAAATGTCCACAACTCGATATAGCATTGAAGCCGGAGCTCGCTGCACATGTTGGCACGTGCCCGCAGCAAGTTCTCACGTCACACCAGCTTCCCCCGGGGCAGCGTTTCCCCAAAGTGAGGAGTCAGCGCTTTCGCGCCCGTTGTCCCGTGGCTAGGCGCTGTAAAAAAAAAAAAAGCGGTTTCCTGCCGCCCGGGGAAGCGGACAGGAATTTTGGAGCGCCTGGATCTCGGCGAGGACGCTGGCCGGCTTCCAAGCTGGGGAGGGGGGAGGGCCCCCCAGCGAGCCGTCTCGAGGAAGTCACGATTCACGTGCAGCCAGATATGCGGCCATGCTGCTTTCACAAATGGTCGTTTCGGTAACACCGCCGGGACTGGAGGGAGGGCAGGGAGGTAGGTAGGGGCCGGGGGGAGGCCGCCCCCCCACCTGCCCCCCACTACCTGCACCCCCCTGCCCTAATGCACCCTGGACCTAAGTTTTGAATTTTGGGATAGTTGACCAATTCCTCTCTCGCTCTCTCTCGTAGCCCGTTCTCGCCCTCAAACCGCGGGACCTGTTGCCCCTCGCAAGATCTCTCTCCCTCTCTCTCTGCGTGGAATCTGAAAGTCGAGTAGAAAAACAGAGCTCTCACTCTCTCGCAGACAAAGGGGGCTGTTTGACTGTACAGTTCGCTGGTGATTTTTTTCAAGAATAAGAATCGGGTCTATCTCGTCGGCTCTGCCGGCAGTGTCAAGGAAAGGGCTGTAGAAGGGCTTGACGTTGCCCCTTTTCTTTGCTGGCTGCTGTCGCCGCGCGTCACAAAAAGCCCTAAGTTCTGCCCACCCTCTCGCAGCTTGACCCAAAACTGCGAATGTCTTTGCCAGTGTCGACGCTGTCTATTGTACGGAAGACAAAAAAAATGAAACCAAATAACGCTTCTTTCACGGGCGCCTGCTTTGTTCACGATATTATTTGGCAAAGCTCACTTCTTAACTCTTGCACGTTTCACCGTGGGTTTGGGGGGGGGGGCACTGATGGTGAGGAGGAGGGTGTTACTGTTTTTACGATTTTTTTTCGTTCCTTGAGGGTACAAAGATTGTTTTCCTCTTTCTTTTTTTTTGACGGAATGGTTGGAAAAAAAAGAAGAAAAGCCACGGAATGGTTTCGGTTTTGTTTTGTTTCTGCCCGGTTCTTGAGGAAACGCAGCAAATCCGAAGCTGTGGGCCCCTCCAGAGAACCATTGTCCATCATCGCCGCGGCGATGGTGGCCACGTCAGGAATGAACGCGAGAGGCCGGGAGGAAGGATGCTCTAGCCAGCGCGGTTGGCTATGTAGTACGGTGCGAAAAAAGGTTCAACGTACAGAGCCGCCTGCTCGAGTATGAGCCAACCCCCACGTAGCATTTGCTGGTGGCGGGGGGGAGGGGCTGCTGAAGGCTCCCCCCTTCAGTAACCAGTAAACATGCAGAGTTTGGGACCAACGTTGGCCCAACGTTCTACGTTCACTGGGTCGGCCGCCCCTTCTAACTTCGTATAGCCGTCGAGAAAAAAAATCCTCGTGCATTATATTTAACACCGATGGAGGTTTTTCTCTTCAGCCTCTACTCCTTTGTGCACGCACGAACTGGGGGGAGGGGGGGGTTGGTTCGATAGAGAATGCCGGGGCAGAATGCACGGCAGACGAATGCCGTTCGCATCGTTACTCAATCTGTCCGACGGTTAACATTTGTTTAAAGTTTGGTTAACATGAATCTTGCCACCCCCCTCCCTGGATTTGTGTATGCCTCCCCACACCATACGCCAACCCCCCCACCCATTCCCCCATTTAAACAAGATCACACCACAGGGCTGGCGTGTGCGTGGAAAACTATTCCAACTAATCGTGCGCCGTAGAATAAAAAATCATAACGGGACTACCAGCAGCCAAGTAATATGCAATTTGTGGTGCTTAACCTTTGTTCAGATTTACTTTATGGGTTTTTAAATGGCTGCTTACACGGTTACCCGCCAACTTGGGCGTAAAGTTTTTTTTGCATTTTATTTGCGTTCAGTTCTTCCTCTCATTTCCTTCGACCCTGCGTTATTAATCTGTCGCGCTGTCGAAAGCCGTTCATTACCGTGGCGATGTTTAGTATTTCTGACGTACATATATGTACATTCGAACTTCTATCGCACCGTACATAGCCAATTGTGAGTTATTTGCCCCCCCCCCCCCCCCCCCCATTACTGTGACATCCTGGCAGGGACCGAACAAAAGAGTATTGACACTCAGTGCCAGCTTTCTTGGGTTTAACAAGCATAATAACACAAACAATTATAATATACTCGGCCGCCTAACTTGTATTGCACTCTGGCACCTTCCACTGTCTTGATGCTCACCGGTAAGACGCTCAACCCTGTGGTTACTTTGTTCTTGCGGAACCTGTTTGCTGTTCATGGCGATTAATGCCATGTTTCAGTCGCACTGGATTCGTCGCTGTTGGAATCCATTTATAGGCCTCAGGACCTCTCCTTAAAACGAGAATTCTGGTCTCATTGGGCCTGCAAATGGTCTTAAATAAAGCAAAATGAATAATGAACATGAATAAAAAGTGGTTTATAAGACGTTGCCCTCCATAAATCTCACTGAATGGGCAAATAAACAATTGTGCTTACGAACATTGGCCACTGTGCGTCTGCCTTGTTTTTTTGCTGTCAAATATGAATACTGGCTGGCATTCTTGCCATCCACTTGCCCGCCACTATTTAAATTATTAAAAGTGCAGCAGCGTTAGTGATGTGTGTGTGTGTGAATATGTATCTGTGTGTAGTAGCACAGACAGAAAAATAGGGGGTTGGTAAAGAAAAAAAAGATTTAACTCCAGGGTTATCAGTGTATGCTTTTTTGTTACTTTTAGAAATATACGACTACCCACTCACGGCAATGCACTTTATTTAGTGTGCAGCAGTATCACAACAGGCTGAGTTAGACACCAACATTTAATCTTGATTTGACTAACATTGAAGTCAGTTTGACTTTACAATCCTGAATTCGCAAAGTTGGTTTGACCGCCCCTGAAACGCACTGCTTTTGAACCTCAGTGGTTCTCGTATTTACAAAAGCGTCTAAAGTGCGATCGACTGCATCCCAAGACGTAGCGCCGGAACGCCACGCGATATTTATTTTATATCGAACAAATTATTTGGTGATGTTAGTGCTGCATTGGTAGTATATTTTTTTTACGTAACATTCCGTCTTCACAGCACGTCGTGAGGTCACAGAGACTGTCTGTCGTAGGCTGCAGAAAAAATCTTAACTTGAAGTGGGTCTTATTCAGCATAGAGGTTTTTGGGTTAAATTGCGTAAACACAAAATTAACAATTCAAGAATGTGGGTTTACTCTCCAACACACAGGTGTGCTGTACTAGCAACGAATCGGCATGCGTTGTTTACGTGACAAACCTTATTAATTAGCTGTGTCGGGTGGTGGCGGTTTTAACGACACATTTATATTATGCGATCTAACCTATTATGGATAATATTGGTCGTGAAAGCCAACTACGTGTTAAACTGGAAGGGGTCTTGATCCAGGACTTGACCAGAGTCTCAAAGCCCCACCTACAGAATCCTCCGCTCAGCCTAGACCCAGTGTTTCCCTCGTTATATTAAAGAGGCTGGCATAATCGCTTACTTATGTATAACGCTAACACTGTCATTCGGTCAGGAAGTCAGCTGCTGTTGTGGCCCTTTGCTTGATGATTGAATGCAATGCCAGTCGCAAGTCAGCCCCCCCCTCCCACACTAGCAATTAAATGACTCGTCACAATTCACGATTGATTACGATGCAATTCAAGAATCGATTGAAAAATAATTAAACTCGTATTGTTTCTAGTTACTCTTTTTGCGCGCTTTAATTTTGTGAGTTTGCTGCGCCCAAACGGAACGCGAGCAATGCAGCTACACGTGCAGTTTTGAGTAACCTGTTACATCATCGTAAACGCGATCAATTACCACCCTCGCTGCAGGCGTGACAATCAATTTTTCTAGCGACGCCTCGACACATCGTTCCTTGCCGATGGCAGTCCCCGTCACGGGCATCCAGACGCGGGGCCGAAGGATGAAATGCGAGCGCGGGCAATGGTAGGTAGGTGGGGGGGGATGCCACTGTTTAGAATTTTTCAAAAACGCGAACCGTCCGCCAGCCCGCCCTTTGTCCCTCCTTCCACCCCCCCCCTGCCCCCCGGGATCTCCCTGGCTCGTAAAGGAGGATGGACGAGACGACGCCTCGAGCTCTGAAAGGGCTCACCCCTAACCCTAAAAACCTCTCCACCTGTCCCGCACCCAGGCTGCTGACGAGACGGCAAATTTAGTCAGTGCTGCTCGCCGCTCTCCCCCCACTGGGCTGGCATTCTCCACACTTTGTAAACAAGCGTTTACCCTCCACCCACCCTCAGTCTGGCTGTTCGCAGAATTTAGGAGAGCGAGAAATAACACACACACACACGTCACGTGCTGTAACATGAATGCCAAGGCTGATGAGATAAAGAACAATCCGTGGCATTAGTAGTTAGCCCATTCGCGTCCCCGTTCCAAACCCACCCCACCCCACCCCCCCCTTTTAAAAAGCCGCGCGAATTCTCGCCGAGCTCGTAAGCCCTTCTTTATAGCGAACAAAAAACCGCGAAGGTAGCGCTCGCTATTTTGGTTTTTTTTGGGGGGGGAAGGGGGGAGGAGGTGTCGGTTGACTTCACGAGTCTCCATCGTCGGCCAGGCGGCCATGAGTCACTCACGCGCCCACAGGAGTCCGCGTGCAGCTGCGCTCGCGTTAAAAGCGCAGCACGACGGCACCAGCCGTCAGCGTGGAACCCCCTCGGCTCTCTCGCTCGACGACGGCGGAGCGATCGCTGGAGGCGCGAGCGTGGGCCCCCGTGCCGCGGCGCCTACCGCTGCAAGCCCCTGCCGTAGGGTTACTCACCGCGTGTGTTTCTCCCCGATTAGACGCGCGGCTGGGAAAAACAATGAAGACGATTGTGCGTCAGCATAACAATGTCGCGGTGCATGCGCCCCACGGACGACTCGGCGGCGGTGCGATACGGGGGACGTCGCGTTACTCACGCCTGCCGCCCCCCCCCCCCCCCGCCGCCCCCCCAGTTCACACTTTATTAGTTTAAGTTATTTAAAATCGACTGTCAGGGAGTGTGTGGCTCTGATGATCGACCAAGGCAGATGTGGCGTGTGGTGAGACGCACGCAGCTGGCTGGTTGACGCTTGCGAGTAGCTTTACGATGCGAGCGACCGAATTTAAGATGTGGACAGCTTATGTGGAAACTGATTCATCACAGCCATCCTGCCAGGACAACCCACACCCCCCTCCTCTCCCAAAGGAAATGAGACATCCAATAAAGGAACATTGCACAATGTGTAAATGTGTTATAGTGTACACCGACTTTCCCCTTTTTTTGTTAAGTTCCATTTGTCTTCATCTAAACATGAACCTCTCTAGCAAGGAGCGGGTGATTGTGCTTGTGGCTTTGTTGTCACGTCGCTCTGTAGGACGCTTTTTTTCTGTTTTTAAAGCGGTCGGCGTTTAAAGGAACGCGAGATAAAAAAAAAAGTGGACAATACTCTTCTCGCCGTTGGAGTGAGGCAGGAGGACTCGTGTGGTTAGTGGGTTGATGACACACAGCCCTCCCTGTGTTGAGTCACTGTCTGTGAAGTCGGTATTCAAGTCTGCTGCGATGTGTGCTGTTCCAGACAGTTTGTGGCCAATAATTTTTTGTTACTCATCCCGAAAATACATTTCGGTCATTCTCAATCCTCCAGTGGATCAAGGCGCCAGCACCCCCCCCCCCCCACCTAATGCCAAGGTGGTCACGAGAGGGTTCGTTTTGACCATACTCCACCACGCTGATTATAGTGCAGGCTGGTGATGGTGTAGTGGAGAGGGAATGGCAAGCAACGGTGTTGATTACGAGTCGCCACTGATGTTCGCCGTGTCAAGGGAATCCAACTCGGGTCACTGGGTTCGCAGCCCTGCGTGCTAGCTAACCAACCTGCACCACCGGCCCATCCGCCATTATTTATATACGATACACACACAATGTTGCCTTAGTCGCCGTGATGCATTTAGTGATGAAACATTTACCATTTTAGTTTTTGAATTATTCAAATTGTAACACGTCGTATGGTTGGGACCGGGCCTAAAATAAAACCACGGCAGTGTTCTCCGAGTCACATGGGGCACTGTTTGCAGATTTCAGTGTTTTTTTTTATTTTTTCAAAGCAAACGTTTCTCCCCCTCTTTCACGTCGGCGTTCATTTGTCACTGTCCAATTCATTATAAATAACTAAAACAGCATTTTGTTGCTCCCACTTTTATTAATAAACCGCATTAACCTTTTGACAAAAAGCGGGTCACCCCATAATGCGAGCGTGCATGTTTTCTCGCTGGGTAGCCCTCACCTTAAGACATCGGCCTCCCCTCTCGCCCGCCCGCCTGCCCGCCCGACAGAGTGCAATTACGCAAACGCAACCAGACTGGCGATCCGACTACAGTGAATCCCGCAGACAAATTGCATTTGTGGCTGAAAGTACAATCCCCCCGCTAAAATATATCCAGCCTCATTCGATGACGGTTACGAAGGTGGGGGGGGGGTCAATAGAAAACGCGTTGTTGTTTCTTTCGGGATTAGCACAGTTGCCGTGGTTGTGGCCAGACCAGACGGCAGGGGTGCCGGGAAAAGGAGGTATGCAAGGTCCTGTGAGACCGTGAGCATGAGAGGTTAGGGGTCATATTTGGACGTCTCACCTGTGCCGAAAGCATGTCGCCTGGAATTCAGCCTTGAGCCCCTCCGCTTTCTCTGAACCCTGGTGCAGGGCGAGATTTTGGCGGCAGACTTTTAAACAAGCAAATGTCTGCACTTTTCCACCGTCCCATCATCCCCCTCCCTGACCTCCCCGGATCCCCCCATCACCCAACCCCTCCCGCGGCTCTCCCCCGGGCTATTTTTTTAAAAGCCGACAGCCGAGCCAGGGAGCGTGGCTCAGTGACGATGAGCGGTACATTACGCAGCCTGCGTGTTTTCGCCGGAATAGGCAGCCTAGTCCGTGTCGCACGCCCGTGGCTTAATCTGCGTCTCGGTTGTAACCGCGATCCCCTAAAGGACGCCGCCACTTTGTTGCTCGTTCGTACAGGTCGTGGAATTTTTTTTGTCTTTGTTTAATTGCAAATTTGACAGTGGGTGAAATATCGGAATCGTGCGGTTGGTGGTATGGTGGTAGTGGGGGGGGATTGATGCTTCCCAAAAAAAATATTTTCGCAGGGGAGATGCCCAAGATGGGCAAGCGTTCACAGCGCGGGGCGATGAGACCTGTCGTTTGTCAGCGACACGTTTTAAAAAAAAAAATTGGTGATGCTGCGTCGTCGGCCGGCGGTGCACAAGCGCAGACAACAAAGAACTCGACACGTTCGCCAATTGCGCTGCACTGCAGTTGAATAAATATACAAGAGGTGACGTGTTGGGCAATGGACATTCTTCATTAGCAGATATTTCTGTAGAAGGTGCCATTTCCCGAAACGTCACCTATAATATAATTGTTCCTCTGTGGGGGAAGCGTAATTGCGCGAATGTGTGGATTTTTTGTTGTTGAATTGTTCGTGACTACATGTATGTAAATAAAAGCATACTACGTGTGCCATTGCTTAGCGGTTTAGTGATCACGGCTCGCAATTTTAAGCAGAAATAAATACGCCCGCCGTTTCTACGCAGAGCCTTTGGGACGCTGCTGCGTTTAAGACGCCGGTTACTTCCACATTGCGTCGATTTATACTGCAAGAAAATTTATTTTAAAAAAATATATACTATATATACCACTAACGGAGTACTAACTACGCGTGCATCCGATGCAATATCATTAATGAGGAACGCACACCTTATGGTTTATTCAGAGCGTTTGTGAGTCAACGTACATTGATCGAAAGCTCGTCGACCCGGAGACCACCGCACGGAGACATCTGCAAGAGACAGAGAGACGACGGGGGTTGAGGCATTTCTTAAATGCGCGTGGTTATTTTTTTTGTTGAACACAAATAAAATAAAAAAAATCCCCTCCGCGCCTCCCCCCATCCCAACAAAAAAAATCTGTGACCAATTCCCCGCCGCCGCCACCGCTGCCGGAGAGTGCACGCGGAGTAACGCTCCTCCTGCTCTCTCCCGGCGAATGAAATCGCCGGGTGGGTCTTTGTGCCTTGAGCTCAAACCCTCTCCCAAGCCCTGCCACCGCCTCCCCCTCCATCCCCCCCCCCGCCCCTTTGTGTGTTGAGACGGACGGAAGGAGAAGGGGGTGGAAGAAATAAAATTTAAAAATAAAATAAATGCCCTTGTTAAGTTGATTTCTTTTGCTTCTTTCTCTAAAAACCCGCCGTTAACGAGCAACTAATTACGTGACTGGGGGGGGGGGGGGCTGGGTGGTGGTGGTTTGGAAGGTGGCTGGCAGGGGGGAAGGCTGCAGTGGGGGGAGGGGAAAGAAAAAAACAACCACAACGGAGCAGATTTCCAGGAAAAAAAATTTCTGGGAACAAGACGGCTAATTCTGGGCACCTCTTCGTTTTGGCTGCACTACATTCTTGCCGGTGCAACATTCGAATTGCAACATTTTTTTTTCGAGGGAGGGTGGGGAGAGAAATTAAACAAAAAGACCACATTTTTGGGGGGTTTTTACAATAAGACTTGGCTGAGAAAAAATATATAATTGCAGCTTTTTGTAACGAGCAGAACCGAGTGATTTTGTTGCGTGTATGTGTGTATGTATGTATATGTGCAAAATGCCCCCCCCCCCCTCTTTCTCCGTCCGTCGTCTGCGGAAGCCGTTTTCATTGTCTGCCCTGTGCTGGGGGGGATGTTGGAGCTCTAGGAGGCGAGGGGAGGGGGTGGCGTGATGGGATTTGGGAGCGGGGAATGGTGTGGGGGTGGCGGCGGTGTGGGGCTGGAGTTGGGTTGGGGGGAGGGAAGAGGGGCAGTGGGGGAGGGGGCAGAAAAAAAGGGGGGAGGGGAGGGTGGGGGAAGCGGTGGGGGAGGGGGGGGGATTAGGAAATCGACTGCTGCAGACAAGAGTCTAGAATTCCCGCCGCTAGCAGTCGCCGGTGCGGCTATTCGGGAGGCGGAGAAACGCGCCGCCGCCGTCTGGTTTCGCTTTTCGCCAGACAGCCAGACGACGTCCCGGCCTTAACCCCTTCCTGGCCCGGCAAACACACTCCCACTCCCAACAACCATTTGTGTGCCCTTCAACGAAGGGACAAAAACAATAAACCCCCCACCCCCCCCCAGAAACAACCCTTCAAGAATAGGTGGCGCTTCTTCGGGTGGGTGTGCATCTGTCGAATCCATAACCTGGCAAAAAATATATATATTGCCGCCATGCGTTTTTCGTAATTATTTTTGGAGCGGAAGAATTTTTCGCATGCATGGAAGATGCTTTGTTTCTTTTTTTTGTTCAATGGTAATTGTTTAAAAAATAAAATAAATAAATATTATATATCGGATTTGCAGACATTTTTTTTATTGCTTTGTCTAGCGAGCTCAGCCAATGGGTGTCTTGCGGAGGGATGCAGACGGAGCCGAAGGTCATTATGATTTCTAGATTTAATCATTATGATTTCTCAGAATTCTGAGATGGAGGTGCCCCCCCGCCAACACACCCACCTTCCCCCCCCCCCCTCTATTTTGTCGTAAATAACTAATTTGTTAAATTTTAAGCCCACGGATTAAAATGTTTTTATTTCAAATTTCACGCCATCGTTATGTTATTTATCTTATTTATATTTTTGTTTAAAAAAAAAACCCCGAAAGCTTGTGTCCGCTACCTTGCTTGCTAAATTACTTACAACACCGGCACCACCCTCCGAACCAACAAAAACCACAATTTATGTAATTTATGTAATTTTACAAAACATCGCCGTTGTTGTCGGGCGGTGCCCTTCGCCGCATTGGGAAAAAAGGAAAACGTTTACAATTGTACGATGTGCGATGCACCTCAATCTCCCACTTGGGTTAACGAGCGCATGCGTTCCGTGATGCCCGCATGCTGCCAAACCCCCAACCCCCCAACCACCTCCAACCCAGCCCTCCCTCCCTTCCCCTCCCTCCCTCCCAGACAGGCCTTCGACAGCATATAGTGGCCCCGCAAAATATAACTGGGGCAACATTTAAACGGCTCGTGATTTTGCACGGCCGTTCTTTGTTTGAGCACGGGGTCGACTCTTATTCAACAAGAGGTGGAGCCAGTTCACCAAATGGACACACACACATAAAAAACCCCATCCTACATCGTCCACTAAAGTATTATTATTGTTGTCACCGAGACACAAACGATTCCTGGATATCATTTGCCATCGAATGTATGTAGTTTATTCCAGAGCGTATCGGTTTAATTCCTTTGTTGCGTGATATTTATTTATTTATCAATATCATTACGTTTTAGTCCGCGGAAGATGAAATAATAATAATTCAGGTGTGAATTCACAACAACAAATTGCCGCTCACCCATCATGAGCATTACTTAGTAGTTGTTGGAAAGCAAGAGTTATGTCCCCTTTACAGGATGCAAGTCGCGGTTGCCGGTCATTTCAAACGCGTTCATTAATTAGCCCTGCAGCGTTAAATACGAACCGTTAACAACAACAAAAACAAAAACCACCCAGTACGCAACCTCACGCTCTTCGGTAAGCGAGGTTACGCGTCACGGCACGTTACGGCAGGGCGGATGTTTTTTTTATCACATTATTTTACCGGGACCGATTGTTTTTTTGCGAAAGCGAAACAACACCAACAACAACAACGCGTGGGCCACGCATGTGTCTGTGGACACACCTCTGCCCATTAGGCAAATGAACCACATTTACCAAGGGCTGGAAGCTAACGAGCCGATGACGCGCGCGTGCGCTCGTGTCTTCGTCGTCTTCGTTGCATTTCGCGCACGTAAATTCACGCTTCGTTTTGGCTCACTGCGTTTGTGCGTAGAACTTCTTTCGTGCCGCACGTAGCCGGCCCACGCTTTTAATCGGAGGTGCGGGGCGAGGGTACAACGCGCGTGTATTCGTAATTCCTGGATGTCGCACGGAGCATTAAGGATATTTCGTTGTTGCATTCTGATCGGTACGGCTACTGCTGTGAACATTTAAAAAAAATATCGGGGTTTTTTTTTGTTCCATCCATATACAGAGCCGAACCTCAGCACTTGCAAATTGTCTCATACAATCTAATCTCTTTACACGTTATGGTGATTGATTTTTTTGGTTACATTTTAGAATTATCCACTCAATTATTTATTGGCACCACCACCATTATCACCGCTTTTGTTTTAAAATCACAAACCAACGCACACACACGTACAAAAGAAACGTACGCACACACTCCAGACATACCTACCTACGTACGAGATAACAAGAGTGCGGCGTGGTAATTCATTATTTAAATATTATGTAACGCTAAGGTAGGCGGCGAGTGTGTACGTGCGTGTGGTGATGTTTGTGTACAACTGTGTGTGTCTGTGTGTGTCTCGCTCACAAAGACAAAGATATCCCCTCCCCACCGTCAAGCCTGCAGTGGACTGTTATGAGCAAGTGTCCGCGAGACCCAGACAAAAGCGTGGAGGAGAATTGCTACAAAACGCAACAATCCACTCGCTCACTCACCTCTTGCTCACAACCCCAACGTCGCTTCGCCCTGGCAGATTTGAATTTTTTTTTTTATATTCCGGCCGCTCAAGCGACGGGAAGCCGGCGAAGAGTTGAAACGGCTCCTCCTCCTCTGCGAGTCTACGCAAAGGGGGAGAAAGAGAGCGAGAGACGAGTGGGGTGGGGGGGAATAAGTAACGGAGATAGAAAATAAAACAACAGTGGCGATAATTACCGACGAGCCGCTGTATAGAAGTCACTCGGCGAACGCGATAGACAAATCGACGGTAATTAATCAGCGGCTGTCTCTTTTCTCCCCCACCCCTTTCTCTCTTTCGAATGCGGTTTTAGCAGAAGCGGCTTCGGCTTTGGCGATTTCTTTGTGACGTCACGGCCCCCGACGAACCGCCGCCTCTCGTTTGGGTGTTGTGTGTGTTGTGTGTGTGTTGTGTGTGTGTGTTCAGACTGAAATCTTTGTGCGCGTGAGTTCCACCCCCCCCCCAACCTCCTCTCTCCCAACACCCCTCTGCTGCCAAATTCTTATTTTACAAACCCCCTCCCCGTACATATTTTCTAAGCCGACAAAACAACAAAAAAAGTTGCTCGCCAGCGTTCGCGCCACTCTTACCTGCCCGTCTCGTATCTTCGAACGCCTCGGCCCCTCTCTCTCTCTCTCTACCATTATAGCCGTCGCCGCCGCTGCTGCTGCCGCTGCTTCTGCTTCAGCTGCTGCTGTTCCCGTCTGGCTCCAGTGTCGAGTCTGTGCGGATTCGCCTACCGCGAGCCGGAGAGGGGAGACACTCTGTGCTGGGCTACAACAACCGGGGCTGGGTGCTGGGGTGGAGCTATGTTCGCGACTTGTGGGGTTGGGTTGAGTGGGTTGGCTGCCGCCTGCTGATGTTGCTGCTGCTGCTGCTTGCTCGCTGGTTGTAAGCAGTGGGGTTATAGCAGTGGTGGTTGGTGAGGTTGCTGGTCTGGATAAGCCGAGGAGACAGGGCGGACCCCACAAATCTCGAGTGACGCGACGACACCTCTCGCCATTGGCGGAGTTAACAAAAAAAATAGAGAGGGGGGGGGGCATTGACGCTCCGTCTCCCATTGGATGGCGCGCGGAGGCCCTCACAGCCCACACTCGCCGGGGCTGCTATTGGGTAGCGCTCGCCTGAAAAGTGGGGAGCGATGGATTGGGGGGGGGTTGGAGTGGGGTTGGTTGGGTGAAGTAGGGGTTGGGTGGAGGGGAGTTGGGGTGGGGGGCTGGTGGAGGGAGTGCAGACGGAACTAAAGAAATGTACGTGTGTGTGTGTTGAGACGGGCTTGTGCGTTTCAGACAGGATAATGAGTCTGTTAATAGACGATTGTCTGTCTGTCCCGGGCCTTCTGTACGTCTGAGCATATTTGCGCAAGGCTCGTTTTATGCAAATCTCGGCAAAACATTTACGGCGCTTATGCATCGCTATATATAGACGTGGACGGCATCGATTAAGAACCGCTACTGGTACAATTGACTGGCATGTCTCCTCCCCAGCCCCCTCCCCCCACGGTACACCCCTCCCCCCAGCCCCCTCTTTGTTTGACTAGAATGTATTTAATGCTGATTCGTGTGTCATTGTCTGCTCCGTGTGTCTGGCGCTCTGCGAAGCCTGTTGGTCCAGCTGTGTACCTTTGTGTTCGGCCCGCCACAGTACGTGTCTGGCCATATTGATTGTCTGGCCCCCGGCCGGTTTACAGAGAGCGAGAGAGTGAGTTCCTGGTCAAGCTGTCAATGACTGCGGCACATTGCAGCAGTAGCACGAAATAAATATAAATTAGCCCTAGTGGCTGGCTTGCTTCGTGCAGGTCGGCAGATTTTCACACTTTTCCATACCACCCGTTCCGTTCTCGGCATTGCACTGTAGCCGGCCGGCGCCACACACACAACACACATGTAACACAGAGACGCGCGCGTGCACGTGTGTGTCTATGTACGTGTGGATTTTTTTGCTTGTAATATTGCGTTGGCAGTTCAAACAAATGGAGAAGGGGCATTGCCCGAAACGTCGCCTGTTTTTTTTAATGAAAATAAAATATATATTGCACTGACTCAAAGACAAAGAAGGTCTCCCCGGTTTGAGCCTTTCCGCACTGTCGGGGAGCGAGTGCTGTTTGCGAGCGCCACTGAAGGTCGGCACTGTGGCGCACGAGGGAGTGGGTAGCCAGCACCACGCCCGGCCTCCTTTGTCTCTCCGGTGCTGATGTTTTACACACAGACACAGCACCAGAGGTGCTCATTTGAGACCGAGTCGACCTAGGCGGCAAAAGCAAAAACAAATAATTCACCGCTATCATTGACCCCCGTGCGCTTGAAGCCATGCAACTCGGCTCGCCGGCTTTGTAGCGCAGTGCGCTAACCACGACCCCCACCGCTCCCCCGCGCAGCCAAAACGCGATGTGAAAGTGGCGGCACGCGATCGTGTCTGCAGAACGTGACTTCTTATTATTCTTATTATTATTCTTCATGCAGGCAACAACCCCCACATCCCCTGCCACCAACACCCACCCCCCCCCCCTTTTTCTTACCCCACTCGTCATATCACTCGCGCGGATCCGTGATCACATTGCGTGTTTTTTTTTGTTAATCTGTCACGCGTCCGGACCGGCGCGCGTTCCGTACGTCGAAGCGGGAGATGGAGCGATGGAATCGTCACGCGTGCAGGGGGGGGGGGGGGCATCGAGGTTTGCTAGGCAGGAATTGATTGCATTCGCAGGGCGGTGAGCGACAGATGGAGACGACTTCGGCGTGAAGTCCATCATCCAGCGGTGGATTGATCATGACCGATGACGATAGAGTCTTTTTTTTCAGCCTGATGACGACCGCTTGCGTTGCGATCGAAACGTCGCTGTGTTTTTTTTGTTTGTCATTTTCTTTGAACCTATCTACGTGACTTTACCGAAAGACCCAGAGAATAAGACGATAATGTCGTTTGTTTATTTTACGATACGTGTAATATCGCCGCTGTTTATTTTCTGAGCATTTGTGACACGTTACATCGGTCGCTAAAACTCTACCCCTTCCCCTCCCCCCCCCCAAAAAAAAATAACCTCACATCTCTCCCACAACTGCATCCTTCCATTAAATTGTGAAGCACGCGCAACGACGGGTACGTGTTAAAGGTGCACGTGTGTGCGTGTGTGTGTGTGCAAATGTGTATGTACGTATGTTCTGGCCACATCAACAAAAATAGGTGCTCTCTAACAGCACGTACTTTCTCCCCCAACAGTCTCTATGTCTACACGCAATGGGGTTGAGGGAAGGGTAGGGGGATCTTTGTCTTTTCGAGTGAGCGTTTGCGTGCGTGTTTGTGCCGGGCGTGGTGCTGGCCACCCACCCCCTTTCGTCCGTGCCATTATCGGCCTTCATAGGTGCTCGCTAACAGCGCTTGTCACAAGTCTGTCCACGGCTGTACGGGTGGAAATTTGTTTTTGTCTTTCGGATGGATCGGCGCTTTCCATTATTTTGCACGAGGCGCGTGTACGGGCCGTGTGCATGGAGGTCTTTGTTCATTAGGGCTTGCGATACGCAGTCTGGCATCGTTTGCCGTGTCTGTTATTGTGCCAATTTTTGCTGCTGCTGCTGCCGCTGCCATACCCACGCCAGCAGGGGCAGAGTGTGTGGCATACATTTTGCACACACACACACAAAAAAAGAAAAATTTGCGTCTAGAACGGTCATATATGTAATACTTGCACATACATCCAATTATTATTGTTGTTGTTGCAATTGCTCAATCGTATTGCTTAAGCAATTGCAATGCATTCTTTGTGCATTGCAATTGTCACTGAGAGGTCAATCGAATGAGTTGAGGCGCAGGGTGGGCACGTGTGGATTTAACGTGGCAGCATCGTGAGATGTGGCAGTGGGCTTTATGTTGTGTTGTTAGATGGCCTTCATCCAGCAGTGGATTGGCCATGACTGCTGACGCTAACGAACACAATGTCAGACAAAACACGTGCGTGCGTGAGCGACACTCGCACGCAAATTACAATTTCGAAAAAAAAATAAACGAGAAGCCGCGCAATTCATTTATTAATCGTTTGATAGTAAATTAATGACAATTACGACAATATTAACGAGAAATGTAGGAAATAAAATTTGTATTCATTGCAGACTGTGGGGGCTGTCTGTGCTGGCGAATTTCCTTGTTCAAAACGAACCCCCACCACCACCACCCCGCCCCCCGGCCCCTCCCCCCCAAAGTCCCCCCCCCCTCATCCCCTCCCTCCTGATCCATCCTCCCCTTGCCCCATCCCCCACGTCTCCCCAACGTCTACCATTAACCATTGCCTGAACTGTTCAGGGGAGTCTCATATAAAATGGCTGAAGCAAGCGTCCCTGCCTCTGTCTGTGTGTGTGTGAGCGTCTGTGCCTGTGTGTCTGTGTGTGTGTGAGCGTGTGCGTCTGTGTGTGTGAGCGTCTGTGTGTGTGTGAGCGTCTGTGTGTGTGTGAGCGTCTGTGTGTCTGTGTGTGTGAGCATCTGTGTGTCTGTGTGTGTGTGAGCGTCTGTGTGTGAGCGTGTGTGTGTAAGCGTGTCTGTGTGTGTGAGCGTGTGTGTCTGTGTGTGAGCGTGTCTGTGTGTGTGTGAGCGTGTGTGTCTGTGTGTGTGAGCATCTGTGTGTCTGTGTGTGTGTGAGCGTCTGTGTGTCTGTGTGTGTGCGTCTGTGTGTGTGTGTGTGAGCGTGTGTGTCTGTGTGTGAGCGTCTGTGTGTGTGTGAGCGTGTGTGTGAGCGTGTGTGTCTGTCTGTGTGTGTGAGCGTGTGTGTCTGTCTAGGGAGCGGTGGCGCAGTGGTAGGCGCGCACTGCGCTACGAACCCGCCCGCCTGGGTTCAATTCCAGCTCGCAAACACAAAACAATAAGCGGGGAAATATTGTAACCGGTCTCGGGGCCTCCCCTAGGTCGACTCAGCTTTAAATCTGGTACCTCATCACGGTGTGTAATCGTGGGGAGACAAAGACGGCCGGGCGTCGTTCTGGCGACACCACCCCCTAGTTGTACCGTGTCGGCCTTCATCGCTGCTAGCCAACAGCACTTGCCCCAACAGCCTGTTAAGGCTATCGGGGGATCTTTGTCTCTTGTGTGTCTGTCTGGGGAGCCGTGGTGTGGTGGTTAGCGCACTGCGGTACGATCCCGGTGTCTACCCGAGTTTGATTCCCGCTGAAGGCCAGCACCAGTGACGAATATATCCACCGGATTCTGGGATTCGCCAAAGTTGACTCAGGCTTAAATGATGCAAGCACCATGGTGCAGTGTGTGGGACGATCAGTGCAAGCACTGGGGAGACAAAGGTGGCGCTGGTCACACCAACTCCTCGTGCGTCGTTCCGATCTTAATTACAGCCCGAACAGCACTTGCTATTGCCAATGCAGGCTATACGGGGGACCTTTGTCTTGAATTGCTCGAAGTCTCAACGGACCAGGTTCGTTCCCTGGTCTCGACGCACAAAGCAAAGTGGCGATTGGAATTGACCCGCCCCTACTGGATGGACATCGATTAAAAATATCTTCATAGCTCATCGGATTTATGCAGTCCAAGTACAGATTCTGATTCTGAGTAAATCGTCTTGTGGTTGAATCGATGCTGCTGTGTTGGTGCACCCCCAGAAGAACATGATGGTTGTGTAAACAAATACACTTTGGGTTTATGTGCATAAGAGACATCGCTTATATATTTGGTTATCCTGTAATTCTCCAGAGCCACGCTCGTGATTATTTTGCGTCGCGTGTTCAATTCCCGGCTCGGGATTCTCACTCTGTGTGGAGTGTGTATGATCCTACTCCCTGGCTCTACGTGTTTTTACCTCCATTTTCTCCCGTTTACTGTCATAGCTCGGAAATTAAACCGATGTACACAACTCGTATTGGCCATAAAACACCCCAATGTTGACAAATTACTTGCAAATAATAACACGATGTAACACATTTTTTTTGCTCCTGGGTACTAAGTGTTATTTTTGTTTATTGCTTATGCCTAGAAAGTATAGAAA